TCCGGCCGCACGCCCTCGCACTGGGACGTTCCTCCCAGTCCCCTCCTTCACGCCTGCTCCCAGAGCCGCGCCGGCGCCCGCCCTTCCGCCTGGCATTCCGATGGAAGTTGACCGGACCCGCGCGCGCTTCGCACCGCGCGCTTGCTTCCGCTGCGGTGCGTCCGGACACCTCGCCCGAGACTGCCCGACTCCCTCGGACGTCCGGCACGCAGACGTCCTGGACGAGGTCGTCCGTCAACTCGGAGACGACCTCCTCGGAGAGCTCTTCGCGCGCCTCTCTACTACCGCCGGGCTTCCGACCGAGCCGGACGCCGGAGACGCGGAGCCGGAGGGTTTTCCGGACGCGGTCGAGTGAGCGGTGCGCCCTCGGTCGCGTCCCCTAATCGTTACTCCTGCCTGTACAAAGATATACCCAATAAATCAGCAGTTGAAACGAAAGACGCACCCCCTGCTCCGGTTTCCGCCCCCCGGCCGGAGCCCCCTATTCCCGCCCCGGAGGCAAAAACCCCTTCCATTCCCCGCGTCCACCGTCCGAGATGGGAACGCAAACTGCCCCGGCAGTACGTTATTGATTCCGTGGAGGGCCGGAACTCCCTGCACATTCCGTTGGAGATGCAGTCGGTAGAAACCGCGGCTAAGGTGTCCGTGAAAGGTCTGGTCGACTGCGGAGCGACCGGAGACTTCATTGACTCGGAGTACGTGATCTCCCGCAACCTTCCCGTCCGGAAGCTCTCCCAGCCTATCCCGGTCCTCAACGTCGACGGCACACCCAATGCATCCGGAGGCATTACGGGCGTAGTCGATATGGTCGTCAACTACAAGGGTCACTCGGAACGCATCCAACTCGCCGTGACGCGGCTCGGGAAGCAGCACGTCATCCTCGGTTACTCCTGGCTTCAGAAACACAACCCGGAGATCGACTGGGAAACCAAGGAAGTCCGGATGACCCGCTGCCCGACCAGCTGCAGCACCTGCCGAGACGAGCTTCGCGCCGTCCGTCGCAGCGCGAAGATCTCCGCCGCGATCCTCTGACAGCTCCGCGAAGGTCCCGTCCCGTCTATCTGTGCCATTGACTCGGAGGAGTGGTGCGGAGACGACGGGTACGATCCGGATGGCGACGGAGACGACTGTCCGGACCTCACTCCGGACCCGGACGAAGACGACGATGACGAGCTAGAAGAAGGCGACCGGATCCTCTACACCGCGTTCGCTCCGGCCGAGGAAATCCGCGCCGGGAGCACCGTCTCCCAACGGCTCGCGGAGGCCTTCGCCCGGAACTCGGCCCCGCCTGGGACCTCGGTTCCGACCTGGGTCGAGGACTTCTCCGACGTCTTTGACAAGGAGTCGTTCGACGCGTTACCGGAGCGCCGGACGTGGGACCACGCCATCGAACTCGTCCCGGACGCAAAGCCGGCCAACTGCAAGGTCTACCCGATCTCCCCCCTCGAGCAGAAGGAACTCGACGCGTTCATCGAGGATGGGCTGAGCACCGGCCGGATCCGTCCGTCCAAGTCCCCGATGGCGTCTCCGGTCTTCTTCATCAAGAAGAAGGACGGAAGCCTCCGGTTCGTCCAGGACTACCGAGCGCTCAACGCGATGACCGTGAAGAACCGATACCCGCTCCCGCTGATTAACGACCTCATTAACCGCCTAAAGGGAGCCCGGTTCTTCACAAAACTCGACGTCCGGTGGGGCTTCAACAACGTCCGGATCCGGGGAGGCGACGAGTGGAAGGCCGCGTTCCGTACCAACCGAGGACTCTTCGAGCCCCTGGTGATGTACTTCGGCCTCACCAACTCCCCGGCCACGTTCCAGACGATGATGAACGACATCTTCCAAGACCTCATCCTGTCCGGAGACGTCATGGTATACCTTGACGACATCCTCATCGCTCACTCCGATCTCGCGCGCCACCGAGAGATCGTCCGAGAAGTCCTCCGGCGGCTCCGGGCGCACAAGCTTTACCTCCGGCCGGAGAAGTGCGAGTTCGAGAAGTCGTCGATCGAGTACCTCGGCGTCATCATCTCGCACAACCACGTCGAGATGGACCCGGTCAAGGTCGCCGGAGTCGCCGCCTGGCCGGCTCCGGAGAACCGGAAGGACGTGCAGCAGTTCCTCGGCTTCACGAACTTCTACCGGAGATTCATCCGGGCTTTCTCGGACATCGCGCGGCCCCTCTTCGACCTCACCAAGAAGAGCGTCGCTTGGACCTGGACCGCTGCCGCGGCTGCCGCCTTCCAAGCCCTCAAGGATGCGGTAACCGCGGAGCCCGTCTTGGTCCTGCCCGACGAGTCGCGTCCATACCAGGTCGAGGCGGACAGCTCCGACTACGCCACCGGAGCCGTCCTGTCTCAGCCGGACGCGAACGGGAAGTGGCATCCGGTCGCGTTTTACTCCAAAAGTCTGAGTGACGTCCAGCGCAACTACGAGATCCATGACAAGGAGATGCTTGCGATCATCCGGGCCTTAGAGGAGTGGCGACACTTCCTCGAAGGTACGCAGCACCCGGTCTAGATCTGGACGGACCACAAAAACTTGGAGTACTTCCGGAAGGCGCAGAACTTGAACCGGAGGCAGGTGCGGTGGTCCCTGTACCTGTCCCGGTTTGACTTCGCGCTCCACCACCAGCCCGGACGCCTCATGGGCCGTCCGGACGCGCTGTCCCGCCGTCCGGACCACGGAGTGGGCTCGGACAACACGGACGTTACCCTTCTTCGCCCGGACTTGTTCCACGTCCGCGCACTGGAAGGTGTCGTGGTGGCCGGACCCGAGGTCCCCCTCCTTCGTGACGTCCGGGAGGCCTTCACGGGTGAGCCGGACCTTGAGGACCCCGTCGCGCTTGTCGCGCGAGAACTCCTCAAGAACCGGAACGTCCGCCCCCCCCGGTCGTCCGAGTGGCGTGTCGCAGAAGGGCTCCTTTACTACCGCGGTAAGGTCGTCGTACCGCGGAATAAGGACCTCCGGCGCCGAATCATGCCCCGGAGATCAAAGTAGGCGACCGAGTCTGGCTAGACGCCTCCGACATCCGGACGACCCGTCCGTCCGTCAAATTCGCGGACAAACGCCTCGGCCCCTTCAAGGTCGTGAAGGTTGTCGGAAAGGGTGCGTACAAGCTCGAGCTCCCCCCCCGGTACTCCCAGCTCCACCCGGTCTTTCCGGTGGTGAAACTCCAGCTCGCGGAACCGGACCCGTTCCCCGGACGCCCCCGGAACGACGAACCCCCACCCGTCCTTCAGACGGACGACGACGTTCAATGGGAGGTCGAGGAGATCCTAGAAGCGAAGGTCCGTTATGGCAGCCTCTGGTACATGGTGCGGTGGAAAGGCTACGGCCCGGAACACAATAAATGGGTAAAGCACTCCGACGTCTTCGCTCGAGACGCCATCGAGGCCTACTATCGCCGCTACCCCAACGCCCCGCGCCGGATCGCCTCGGCCGCTTTCGACTCGCTCTCGTTCCGGAGGCGCGACGCCCAGGTCCGATTCATGCGTCGGGACGCCGCATTCCAAGGGGGGGGTGATGTCAGGGGAACCGCCCGTCCGTCCGTCCATCCGTCCATCCGTCCGGCTCCGGCCCATCGCACTGCCCCGCTTCCTCGTCCGATCCTTTGTCCGGCCTCCGGACTCGCACCCCAGCCTGCGCCTCCATCCGGAACGTCACCTCCCGTCCCTCCGGACTCTGTTCCCTTCCGTCCGTCCGGCCGCTCTCACTGGCACGTGCTGTGTGATCAAGCTCGAGACCTCTGCCGATCCCTCCGGACACGTGCTACTGGCTAGTACTTAAAAAACCTCGCCTAGCGTGAGAATCCTCATCCTTTCTTCTCTTCGGATTCTCCCGCTAGGTGCGTATTCTAGAAACCTGTATTTAGTACCATTCAATTGAGTTGCTTCGGATTCTCCCGCTAGTCTCCCGCGCTCTGCGCCGAGCTGAGGTTGCCCTTACAGCCAAGCCCCTCCCTTCCACAGGTGGTACTCGTATTCACGCAAGGAATCGTCGCACCGGATGCTCGCCCCGATGGCGGACGGGAGCCAGAGCTTCATCTCGTACACTCTTATCCCAGGGACCGACTGTGTCACCACCACACGTTTGCGCACGGCGTCCTCGTAGTCACACAATACAGCGACCTCCGGGATGAAGAGCTGTTGCACCAACATCCACGCCTCTATCTTGTGGCGGAGCTTCGTCTCCCACTCGATACGGGTTTGAGCCTGGTCCACCGTCTCGTGGGCAGTGACCTTCTTCAAATGCATCGCCAACGCTCGTCTATTTCCAATGTCAGCAACTAGCCACGGTCGAGGCAGAGGGGGGACGCACTCTTGTTGTTCCAATTCTAAACCCATCGAGATCATTTCCGTCTCATGCATGTCGCCACGGACTCTCTCCTCACCCTTGTCATCTGCCGCGATTTTGGCCAGTTTGTGCCGCACGTCCTGCAGATCCTCGTGCTTCACCATCGACTCAAAGGGGTTCGGATTGGCGATGTCGGCCTCCCATGCCAACGCTATAGCCGTCCACGTCTCAATCATGGCTGGCTCGAAAGACGCCTCCACATCGATCCAGGCGCCTCGCGACTCCAGCATTGCGGGGACTGCCTTCTTTAGCTTGGCGAGTAGCGACGTTCCTATCCGGCGGTTAATTGAGTGACGCCGACAATGTTCCTGTGCACATACCGAGTTTTACGATTTTCTTCCAGTTCGAATTTTGAAAATGAGCATCCAATGTGTCTTGTCGCGCACCCAGACCCGATATACTTGTGCTATTCGCTAGTCGGTTCGCGTCTGCCCAGCCACGTTCCGAAGCCTCTCCATTGGTACGTCCAACGTACGGCGTCAGGTTAAAGGAGCAATTGATGTTACATTTTTCAATGTGGGCGGGCAGGTGGAATTTTGGAACGAGGAACACGACCTTCTGGTCGCCCCGCTTCTATCGCACCTCCTCCGGAAAAATCTCCATCTGCTGAAAGGCTGTGCTTGTGCTTACGCAAGAAAGCTTCAAAAGAATGGCACTTGCGGGATTCGAACCCGCGACCTCTTTAATACTCTTTATTTGAGTGTGCTCTTAACCACTGAGCTAAAGTACCCGTTACTGATGATATGGTGCACTAGTGTGCAGCCGTGAAATCTAATGATAAGAGAGAGGAAGCGAAGTGACAAATCACTAACACCAACTAACCCAAAATCAAAATATATCACAAACTCCAATCTAATACTTTGTGTTGTTGTTCGGGGAAGTAGAGTACATATCACTCTTCAAGAAGGGTGTGCAACAGGGGTAATTGAGGAAGGCAATAACTGTGCAATCTGAGCACTTGTTATGCTAGAGCAGGGACTTCACCCGTTCGAGGGATCAAAGACTCCACAATGAACTCAAGACTTTCAAGAATCTCATCTATCTGTGAGCGTACAGACCCTGACACTGACTGTTGGAGGGCCGAGGCAAAGTAGTGCAGGATGAATATCCTCAGACAGACTTTTACCCGGAGCGGTCCGAACGAGCAGCTGGCAGCAGCTTCAACAACACTGGCTTTTATACAAGACAAGTGGGAGGGCAGGGCCCAAATGTACAAGTACAGGAGGCAGCGGTGCCACTTCCTTATCTATGTCGAGGGCAGCAGGAGTGTCTCCCGGGAACAAGCCCGCACAGGATTCAGCACCCGGCACTTATATGATCTTCACTTCAAAGGGTTGAGCCGGCTCTTATACTGGCGTCCGAGACGGTCTTGTCAAGTGTCCCGTGTCCTCTATTCTTATCTGTTGCTTCTGCAGTTCTTATGATATCTTTACTGATCTCAAATCCACTATATTGTCCCGATATCTAGGGGATAGTATGCTACTAATACAAATGGTATGGCTGGTTTATATACACTTTATGATAATAAAAGGGGATACTCGGAATTCTCTAGGATCAAGGCTCTGGCAGGTGGACAGCCAATTAGATTGTGAGTATTCACAATACTTTAGGGTGGTGTCGAGCACAAACACTCGAGAAGGTGGCGAAACAGGACAACAAGTTATTGATAAAAACAAAGCAAACCCGTTTCGCTTTATAGCTCTTCAGGTCCAGTTCGCATAACTCGTATGACATGGCACGGAGAAACCACTGCCGACTATTGCCGGTGGTTTCACACATACGCATCCAATGAGAACGATCCAATTTCCTGAGTTCTATTCTGAGGAACGGGCTCACAATAATGCCGAGACAAACTCTCATCGGCTATGCTAAACACCGGGCTTCTGCGCGGACTTAGGAGCTCGGACAACGGCTTAATCGTATCACCGATGGGGACTTTCTCACCGGGAGCGGGAGCATCAAACCCCGAAGGGAATGTTCTCACCGGTCCTCGGGAGCGTAGAACCCGATGGGAACTTTCAGCCGATGCCGTCGCATCCGCAGTCCGGCTTACTAGCCGACTCGCACGCATGACAAGAGAAGTCCGACGTTACCTCGGAGTCTGATCGGAGAACGGAGGGGGACGGAAATAGGAACTTATGTAGGGCAGGCTTACACATGCTGCTCATCGGCGCATCTACGGGATGTGATGCGACTATGACATAAGAAACGCGCTCACCTGACAGGGAACTGTCGCGGGTGGCCATTACGGTCCGTTAGGGTTAGGTTAGGGTGGTGTCGAGCAAAAACACTAGGTGAATTTCTGGTTCATTTGGGTACCCCAATGAACTAGTCATATGTGTAGTAGTTTTAGTTATTTTTGTGAGCGCACCAGGAGAAAGGAAGATGTATTTCTCTTGTGCACAGGTAAGTCCCTCCCATTGACGGCTCAATAATGCGATCATTGATATGTGATGGGGTCATTTTTCAGTTCCGTGATATGGTCATTTTCCTTTTGTGATACGATCATTTACCTACCATATATGGTAGATAGCAACTGATTCACCCATTTTCCGTCTGATTCATCTATTTTCCTGATTTTTGGTGTTGTTTGGTCCAATGATACGGTCATTTTCCTCTGATACCTGAATTTTCCACCCCATTAGGAAGGAAAATTCAGGTATTTTCCCGGATTAGAAACATAGTTATTATACAAACATCCGTTTTTCTATCTCCAATTGTCCGTTTCCGTCCGTTCACTTCTTGCCTTCATCTGCGTCCGCGTTCTGCTCCGGCTCCGGCTTTAAACCGGAACCACTCGCAACCGGCTCCTCGTCTTCATCGGCGACCGGCTCGTCATCTGAAACCAATTGGTACACAATTCCAGATTCTTCTCGGGAAACCCAGAAGCCGGACGGTGGAATGGACTCGTCCTGGAAGGGCAACGGCTCATCTTTCTTCTCCTCCTTTACCTTCTTCTCTCCGGCCGCTTTCTCCATCAGCGTGGTCTGCTTTGCGTTGAGCGTGACCAGCTCCTCCTCAATCCTCTTCGCCTCCCTCAATGTGTCCTCTTTCTCCTTCTCCTCTTCCGCTGCCTTCTCGGCCGCTTCCTTTTCCTCCGCTTCCTTCACGGCCTTCCTTTGTGCCTCCTTCCGAATCCGATGCTCGTTCGACCGAGCGAACATCTCCGCTTGGTCCATGACGTCCGTCTCGCTCTTCACAACAACCTCCGGCTCCCGGACGACCAACACCCCGGGTGAAATCTCGACGTAAGGACCGACGATGTTCGGTCCACTCGGTAGGCGATCCGGCTCCGGTTCATCCACATCCATCGCCTCCGCGTCCGGAACGTCTTCCTCGTCGTCGCCCTGAGCATCCTCGTCTTCGTCCTCCGACTCCGGTGTAACCCCGGGCGTATCCTGCACTTCCGATTTCGACACGTCGTCCGACGCGTCTTCCGGCTCCACGAGTGCTCTGATGCGCGCCAAATATTGCGAGGAGTCGTGATCCCCGGTGGTGTTGACGTGGCACTCTGCCCAGCGAACGAGAATGGCGCGGTCTTGAATTTGAGCCACGCGGAGCTCAGTGATTTCGTCGCGCAAGTCGTCAATGCACGTCCGGTGTCCTTCCGGCAGTTCCGGCGTGCTCGACGCATGTACCCGAACCCGCGATTTCTTCTTGCTGCCAGACGACTCGCTCCAGGCTTGGTTCGACTCTCGGATGTGCGCAGTTTTGACGTGCGGATGGCGTACCTTGCTTTCCGGAACGAGCGGGCATTTGGTCCGCTTGCGACCGCACTCCTGGCACGCATGGTGACCCTGCTTTGGCGCGGTCCGGCTGGGAATGCCACAGTCGTGGCATGGAGCACAAGCTGAATCCATCTGTCAGTATCCGTCTGCGTCCGGCCTGTCCGGCAAATCCATCACTTACCTTCAATCGCGAGCTCCCAATTCACTGCCTTCTTATCCTTCTTCTGCTTCTTCACCTTCCCCTCACTCTCCGTCTCCCACTTGCACTTCCAGTTTGAACCCGAGGCCTCCGGCTCCGCGTCCTTTTCCTCCGACACCTGTCGCAAAATCTCCGCGATTTCGGCATCGGTGGCGGTGCCGGCGTTGACTCGCGCGCGCAGTTGAAGCGCGCATTCGTGTTGCTGCGTCGCCCGAGAGACCGCAGCCGCAGTTTCCGCGTCCATTGCCGCAAGACGCAATGCAACTTGGTGGTCACGTTCCTCCCTGGCCAGCTGCACATTCCTTTCCTCCTCCGGCTCTGCTGCTCTCTCCTCCTCCGCGATTCTCTCCTGTCGTTCTATCTCCTCCTTCTGTTCGGCCTCCTCTTGGGCCCGGGCATCCGTCGACGTCTCGCGTCCTTTTCCCTTGTTCCCCGATGGTGGTGGCGGTGGGGTATTATCCCCGTTGTTGTTGGTGGTGCTGGCAGACTACATGGTGGTAAGAGGAAAAAAATTGTTGTTTCCCTAACAACGCTCTCACCATCACGTGCTGCTGCGCATTCTCGACTTCTAATTCTCATGCCGTCACTCATCCCTCCGTCATCATCCGGCTCCAGCTTTCGTATTCATCCGGTTCTTTGGTTCCTTGAGGGCAAGGAACCTAAGAGGGGGATACTGTTACGCCCGTGCATCTCCGACCCTCTCCGGATCCGTGTGGACTCGTCCGGCTCCATCCGGATCTCTCCGTCCTTCGTCCAGATCCTCGGATCCGACTTCCCTTCCTTCCGGACGCGTCATCCGAACTCCGGCTCGCGTCCGTATCACTCGCTGTTGCGTCCGGCCTTGGTCATTGACGCACGCCCTCGGGGTTTTTATGCAATGAAGAATTACTGAGCGTTTCCCCTTCTTTGACCATATGACTTATGCTTCACATGTATTCCTTATTGTCTTTATTGTCTTCGCTTATTCCTATTGTCTTTACTTCTTCTCCGAACACATCCAGACTATCTCTGTACTTACTTCGGATGTAACCTTAGTTGATAATTAACGTGCTTTGCCTCCGCATTGCTCCGTCGTCCGACCTCTGTCCTATTCTCTATCCGACCTTCGGAGCCAAGTTAATTGGTGTACCCTTATACTCTTGTGGTATCACTTTACATCCGGACCTTTGTCCGGCCCCCGACACTTTGTCCGGCCATCCGTCCTTCTGGCCCATCCGGCCTTCCGGCTTTCTGGCCGTCCGTCCTTCCGGCCGTTTCCTTTTCTTTCCGGACACGGATATAACACTCTTAGTTGACTTGTAATGTAACATGGTCCCTGGTCCTCGTCAATGTAAGTCAGTACCTGGGTTGAATAAAAGGCCTGCTACAATCACGCAACAGCACTCTTATTGATCGTCATTCTTCTTCAACGTGAATCAAGAGTAGAGGGCGACAATGCGTACCTTATCAACACGTCATTACAGCGCATCAAGTTTCAACTTAGGACATGATCTCACATAGAAGGAAATTGTGCTGTGGTTAATGGAGACAATATTAGTCTGCAGGAACAAAGCGCGTACAGCTAGGAACACCTGATTCGAAGTCTGAACCAGGTTCCACTGGTTCAAAATCGTAAAACACGGGAATTTGAACTTTGGATCTTCTTGAGCTCCACCATTTCTTTTCATGCATGGCCCACATCTGTTGCCAGTCTCACAGGCGGTCAAAGGCTATGCGATTTCCACGAGAAAGTTGGATCGTCTAAAAAATACGCCCTCATTGCAGACGAGACAGTGATAATTTTAATTTACAAGTAGGAGGTGA